TAGCTTGTTCACCTATCTATCCGTCCCTATACCCATGTTTGCTTTCACTGACAACTCAGTACTGTATATGCAAAAGGGTTCATATTTGTTGTCTGTACTGTCATGGCAAATACTTTTAAAGCAACATAAACAGTGACCATATGTGTGCACTGAACACCAGTGACTAAAGACCAGATGAGATGTGGGATAACATCAAGGATGTCATACAAGAAAGCAAAAGGTCATTAAAAAGACAGGAGAGGAAGAGAAGGCCAAAATTAACATTAGAAGACTCTGAAACTTGCTCCTGAATTGAGAGTAGCTAAAGTGAAAGGAAAAAATGATGAAGTAAAAGAACTGAACAGATTTCAAAGGGCAGCTTGAGAAGACAAAGTATTATAATGAAATGTGCAAAGACCCAGAGCTGGGAAAGCAAAGGGCTTCCCCACGCTTGGCATTTCTCAAGCTAGAAAAATGGAAGAAAAAATTCAAGCTTTGGGTTGCAATATTGAAAGTTTCTATGGGCAAAATATTGAATGATGCAAGAAGAAGAAGTTGGAAGGACTACACAAGAGTCACTGAACAAAAAACAATTGGTCAATGTCCAATTATTTCAGGAAGCGGCATACGATTAAGATCCAATGGTACTGAAGGAAGAAGTCCAAGCTGCACTGAAAGAATTGGCAAAAAACAAGACTCCAAGAATGGACAGCATACCCCTTGAGGTGTTTCAACAGATGCAGCACTGCAGGCGCTTATTCATTTATGCCAAGATATATGGAAGACAACTGGCCAACTGACTGGAAGAGATTGATATTTGTGCCCATTCCAAAGAAAGGTGACCCAACAGAATGTGGAAATTATCAAACAATATTAATACCCTATGCAAGTAAAATTTTGCTGAAGATTACTCAAGAATGGTTTGCAGCAGTATATTGACAGGGAACTTCCAGAAATTCAAGCTGGTCTCAGAAGATGCTGTAAAATGAGGGATATAATTGCTGATGTCATATATGCCAAGACATTTGCAAGAACAGCTACTTGAACTGACTGGAAGAGAGCTGTATTTGTGTCCATTCCAAAGAAAGGTGATTCATTAACTCTGCCAAAAAATAGACAGGCCTATGGCCTGAACAACTACACCAGGGAGATGCACTCCTTACAGCAATCAACCATTGCACAGGAAGATTCCCTAGATGGGAATACACAGGAAAGGACACTGGGAAAGGGTAACCACAGGGAGGAAGTGGGAGAGATGTTACACTGTGAGGAAAGTAACCAGTGTCACAAAATGTATATGGACTGTTGAATGTAAAACAAATCTGCTTTGTAAAATTTCACCCAAATCACAATAAAAATTTTAAAAAAATGATCCAACAGAATGAGGAAATTATCAAACAGTATTATTAATAGCACACAAGTAAAATTTTGCTGAAGGTAATTCAGAAATGGTTACAGCAGCACAGCGACAGGGAATTGCCAGAGGAACTCAAGCTGGGTTCAGAAGTGGATGTGGAACAAGGGATATCATTATTGATGTCAGATGCCAGTCACATATATGTAAACACAGAATGCAAATAGTCAATTGTTCACATGTGTCAGAACTGGGGGACAGGGTCCTGGGTGTTTCTCACATTTTCTCCAGCTGCTTTTCTTCCCCTTTTCTTTGTGTTTCTTGGACATCTGGTAGCTTTTTGGTGCCACGTTTGTTTCTCTGTTGAACTCTTTATTTGTAGTTCATAATAAATTCTGGCTTTAAGTCTTTTGTCAATTACATGTTTTAAATATCTTTTCCCAATGTGCCTTGCCTCTTCACTCTTTGATGTACTTAAGTTCTTAATTTTAATGTCATCCAAATTACAAATCTTTCAAATAGTATGTTTTTGGTGAAGGTTTACACAGCAGTGACACTGGTTACGTCCTTTACAATGCATCAACATCCTCATTATTGCCATTGGGGTTGCTCCATTTCCATTCATTTTCCCACCCCCTTCCAGTTTCATCCTTGTTTAAAATTGTTGACCCTTCTCCATTTGCTGTTCACCGTCCACACCTGCCTTTATACTCCCCAGCTTATCCATCCCTGTCCCCCTGCATTTCTGTTTATCTACCCTGCCTCCACTAGACTGTCAACTGCCTGAGGGCAGGGAGCTATTTTGTCCACCGCTGGGTCTTCAGCTCCTCCAATAATTCTGGCACTCAGGAGATCCATCTTTGGTGTATGAATGAATCCTCTTCTCTATTATTCAATTATTTAATTTGAAATAAAGATTTGACTTCAGGGACCTCTGCAGAGCCTAGGGCCTTGGCCAACTGGCAGTTTTCCTTGGTGTTAGCAAATAGTTTTGTGACTTACAACTTGTTTCTAAATGCGTACTGCCCTGAAGGATGTGGGGTGAGTGATGCAACAGCTGTGATTTGCTTTAAAATACTTCCACAACCAAATGCAAGCAATGAAGTTTGGGCATGAAATCTCGCTGTTTGTGCAATGTGGGCAATGAGTTTGTGGAGATTTATTCTACTTCACTCTCTACTCGATGCTTGGATGATGCCCTTATGAAAATTGTTTTTGAAAAGAGCGGCTTGTCCCTCCTCAAGCTCCCACCGGTCAGGGGCATCCCAGCTCCTGAGGCCCCGACAACCACCTTGGCTTGCCACTCCCAAACCCCCCCTCCACAAGGGCAGGGGTGGTGGTGTTTCTGTTTCATTCACCTAAAAGAGGGCCTGGCACCAGTGGGTGATGGTAAACGCTCCATGGATCTATACCTGTCTGGTGAATACCTCTCTGGTGACCTAGCTCAAGCTGGCTGACATTCTGAGTATCCAAGACCCTCCCCCCACTACTGCTCACACTCAAGGCTGTAACACCAAGTTTTGCCTCCAGCAAGCAGCAGGCTACGCTCAGGGGACCTCACCAGACCCCTGTATCCAAAGGCAAGGCACCAGATGAGGGGCAGCTGCCCACTTTATTAGCCAGGAGCCATACTGCAGGACTCTCCAAAGCCCACTTCTGTAGGTGGACAGAGCACAGAAGGACAACAGAACATACCTGCTCCTTGCTCCCCTGCCCCTGGGACAAGTCGGGAAGGGGAGATAGCAAAGTAGGGGGCTGGCCTCACAGAGGTCTCATAAATATAAGGGGGTCACTGTTGAGAGCTGTAAAGGGGCTGGGCAGCAGGGGGTCTGGGGGAGGGTGGGCTATCCTGGTGGGTGGTGCATGTCATGCAGCCTCCTGCATCCGAGAGGGCACCGGCTCTGCATCCAGGCGGCACAGTGGACTGTTGTACACCATCTGCAGGTTCACCTTGTGGCCCACCAGCTCCCGGATATTGTTGATGCCATACTTGATCATCGTCGGGCTTTGGTGGGGAGGAGGACCACAGATTACCACTAGGTCAGGTCCCATCCCGCCTCTTCTCTCAGCCCTTCCTCCTTCCTCCCCTCAACCCACAAGGCCCTGCTCTACCTGCCCGGCCTCTCCCTGCCCTCATTTCCTCCCACTTTTCCACAATGGCCTCACTGTTCCTCAAACACACTCTGCCTCAGGGCCTCTGCACTGGCTGTTTCTTTTGCCTGGACCACCCTCCCCCAGATACCTGCAAGGCTTATTCTTTTCTTTACCTCAAGTCTGTGCTCAGATGCCTCTCCTCAGCGGCACCTTCCCTGACCACCTAATCTCTCTCCTGCCTTCTCTTCTCTATGGCACTTTTTATCCTTGGACAATAATTATCCTGGGTACACTCTAGATTTCACTGCTGAATTTACTTACTTATCTTGCTAATTGTGTTCTGCTCGCCCCCCCGAACCTCAGTACCATGTGGGTCAGAGCACAAGGTCAGGCGCATAGCAGGTACTCATTAAGGCACCCTGAAGGTGCTTACTAAATGTCTGTCAAATGAAGGAATGGATGGATGATGCTGAAGGTCATCCCTGGCTCCGAGGGCCCCATGCCAACCATGTCACTGAGAGCAGGCAGCGAGACACCAGTGTTCTCTGCGTCAGCAGCCTGCTCAGGCACTCACCGCTCCAGGGAGAGGCCCCATGCAATGACTGACACGTTCTCAGGGAGCCCCATGGGCAGCAGCATCTCAGGGCGAAAGACCCCAGAATTCCCGACCTCCACCCACTTCTTCAGGCCTGGTGAGAAGGGGGATAGATAGCATGTAGGGTGGTATCAGGCTTGGCACAGAGCTCGGGAGGTAGGGTTTGGGGTTGGCAACTGGGGGGGTAGGTAACTCCAGGATCCAAGCTGGGGGCCTCCTCCATCCCATAGTACCTTGGTGATAGCTGAACACTTCCATGCTAGGTTCTGTGTAGGGGTTATAGGCTGGCTTGAAGCGCAACTGGGTAATGCCTGGGCAAGGGGAGTGGGAAGCAAGTCACGATGAGGTTGGTGACCAAGGTCCCCTGTGCACCTCCGGTACGTCACCCACTGCAGCCCACCTGCTCACCCAGCTTGGTGAAGAACTCCCGCAGGACGCCCAGGAGGTGGCCCAGGGTGAGGCCATGGTCAGCCACAACACCCTCAATCTGGTGGAACTCAGCCAGGTGCGTGGCATCCAGGGTCTCGTTCCGGAACACACGGTCAATGGAGAAGTACTTGGCAGGTGTGAAGGGCTTCTGGGGGTGAAAGCCAGCCCCAGAGCTGGGTCAGCAGAGGCGTGTGACAGGGCCCCCACCTCGACCCCCAGCCTGGGCCAAGCTGCACCTTCTGCGCGAGGCGGTAGAGCGCGCGGGCGCTTGCAGACGTGGTGTGTGTGCGCAGCAGGTTTTTACGGGCCTCGTCCAGCTTCCAGGTATACTTGTACCTTTAGGAGGAAATGTGGAGAAGTCCACACTGGGCCCTTGAGGGTCCCAGCCCCCTTCCCACCCGCACCCCAAGATCCCGCCTCACCCCTGTGAGCCGTAGCCACCCTGAGAATGGGTCCGCTTGACCCGCTGGACGTAATCCATCGGGAGCTGCAGAGCCTCGGCTGGATCTGCCAGGATCAGATCACCAGTGGTTGGTCAACAAACATTTACCCACACTGGGCCTAAAGCCACTGCAGAGAACAGATCCTGGCTGTGCGCTGCCGCCCCCACCCCCACTGCCCCCCAAGGGGCCGCAGAGTGTCTATGAGCACCTGAGTGACAGCCCTCCTCTCCCCAGAATTCTGTGGCTCCCACCTCACTTGGAACAAGAACTGTGCCCAGCCCCCACGACCTGCACGCTCTACTCTATCACCTCCCTGTCCTTGTCTCCTCCATGCTTCCTTTGCCCCGGCCCCTGTCAAATGGACCACCTCAAAGATGTTTCCTCCCTCTAGGCTCAGGGCCTTTGCAGTAGCTGTTCCTTTTGCCTGAACTCCCCTCCCCCCATACCACTTGGCTCCTTCCCTCACCTTCTTTGGTCTTTGCTTAAACAACTCCTTCCTCACAGTCTTCCTTGGTCAATTTGTTCTGAACCGACACCATGGGTGATGCTGGTTTTCCCTGGGGCATTTACTACCATCTGCCCCATTATCCAGCTCACTTGAGAGGCAACACTCACCTCCCCCATGAGAATGCAGGTCTCACCAGGGCAGGGATTCCCTGTCTCATTCCTGTGACTCATGCGTTCAAAAGACCCAGGCGCACAGGAGGGGTTCCGTGAACGTCTGTTGCTCACATATGTGAATTCTTGTGCCCTTCCAGAGACACGGCCTTTGGCTTGAGAAGCTTGGGATCAAACCCTGCCTCCACCATAGCCAAGCTGCTTGGCCCGGGGCAGGTGACTTTCTCGCTCTGTGACTCAGTTTTCTCATTTGTAAAACTAGACTAATAGTACTACCTCCTACTGATCACAGAAAAATGAGAACAGTGCCTAGTACACACTGTTTACTCAGCGTAGGTGCCACGACGGCAACGAGCACAAGGTTTGTCCAGCCAGGCACCTGAGCACCCGCCTGCCTTTTTGCTGGGAAGATAAGACACACACAGACTCAAACCCACTACCATCAAGTCAATTCCCACTCACAGTGACCCCCTCGGGTTTCCAAGGCTGCCAATGTTTATAGAAGCAGATTGCCTTATCTTCCTACTACAGAGCAGGAGGTGGGTTTGAACTGCCAACTTTCTGAGTAGCAGCCAGATGCCTTATTCACTGTGTCACCAGAGCTCCATGGGAGTGAGGTAACAACCATGAAAATCCACTTAACTTCAGACAACACTAAGAACTTAAGAAAGAAGCCAGGCACAAGGGTGGAGACTAGGATTAAGGGCTTTTATAGAACTGGGACAGAAAGTAGCCTTACAGGGTGACCTCTCCAAGGGAGCATGTGAGCACAGATGTGATGCCACAGGATGCAGAATGTGCAGCACAGGCAAAGGCCCTGAGGGGGGCCAAGCCTGGTGTGTTCAAGGAAAAGGAGAGAAGAGACTGGGGGCAAGTGGAAGATAATCACACAGCTCCCAAGGGCCTTGCGGGCCACACTCGGGAGGGCAAACGTCACTTTGAACAGAACAGCTGAGGCTCTGCCACGTACTAGTGGGGTGAGCCCTGGTGAGACTATAAAAGGGGTAGGCCCACCTCATACAGGCTCTGCTCAGGTACCACCGATGTCTCGGCCAAGCCCGTGGTACTGACCCACCTCGTAGGAAGAAGGTGTCGTGCTGGTCACGTGCTGGGTGCTGCTGGGGCTGGAAGAGTGCATCAAAGTTCCAGAAGGAGCTCTCAATGAAGTTGTCAGTGGGCATCTCGGTAAACCTGGTGGGAGAAGCGGCCTGACTGTCCGGCCCATGTCCATGCCCAGTGGCTGGCTAGGCCCCGCCTCTGGCCCCATGCTCACCCCATCTCCAGGAAGATCTGCCGGAACTGGGTGCGGACCTTGAGCAGGGGGTGCAGGTGGCCACTGCTGGGGAGGACGCCACGAGCCGAGAAGTTATAGGGTTTGAAGGGCCGGTCCCGCCAGGAGCCGCTGTTGGGGGGAGTGCAGCATGGCTGGGTCTGGTGAGGGATGGCTCCCCACCCCTTCACAGCTCCACCTGCCCTGCCCTCCCCTGGGCCGCCCTGTACCTAGAGATCATCTCAGGGCTCAGCTCTGTCTCCTGCTTAGAGATGCTGGTGCTGAAGGTGCTGCCTTTGCTCACCCAGTAGGTCTTCAGGATCCTATAGCCAGAGCAGCACAAGGGAGGCCACTGTTATCTAAGAGGCCCTTCCTGATCTCCATCACTCACCCCAATGTCACCCACCAAGTCACTCTGCTTTATTTCCTTCTTGATATTTGGCACCACCTGAAATCCTTTTACTTGACCATCCCTATCTCCTCACATTTACTAACTCATTCATTCGTCAGACACTTGATGAGAACATCCTATGTGCCACAGCCCATTCAAGGCCCTAAGAACACGGCTGGCAACAATGACAATAGGTAGCACTTGGAAGAGTTATTCTATGCCAGGCCATTCCACTAAAACCGCCCCTTATAAGAAAGGACTGTCTTGTTTGTAAATAGAGACACGGAGGCCCAGACCCCACCTGGCACATGGTAGATGATCCATAACCTCAGTATGGGAGGACAGGGAAGGCTGCCAACACTCACTGCCTCATGGTGGCAGGATGGCTCCCTCCTGCCACCCAGCTCTGGGGCCTTGCAGGTGACACTGGGCCTGGGTGCCGGGGTCGAGCCCACTCACACTTCAGAAAGAAGCTTCCTCTTCCTCAGCTCGCTCCTTTCCTTCTCACCCAACTTCTCGGCCTTCCCGCCCTGGACCAGGCGGAGTCGCCGCTGTACCTCATCCTCCACGCTATCCACCTGCAGTGATGATGGGCCGTGAGGGGCGGTGAGGGTAAGGGGCTCACCCAACCATCCACCCACTTGCCTGCTTGCCGAGACTCACCACTCGGAACACTCGGGGCCCATCGGCTGTGCTCTTGTCGACGCGGATCCACTTGTTGGACATGGCCTTGCTGAAGCCCACTTTGCCACTGGGCAGTCGCTGGGAGCGAGACTGCAGTTAGTGAGGCACAAGGGCCACCCCCATCATATCCCTAGGTCCTGCACCCCAGGTCCCTTACCATGAGCTCGCTTTGAGCCAGGCCCTCTGGGGGGATGCTATGGAACACCCGAGCTTCATGGCTGCCCTCCCGGGCAATCTCCTCGCCCTCAGTGGTAAGCTCCCAGCGCTTGGAGGAACGCAGCTCAGCCTCAATGACCTGCAGGAAGATGTGGGGAGGGGTACAGGCAGGGGTGGGGTTCAGAGCCAGGTACCTCTTCTTCACAGCACTGGAGACAAGATTCAAGGCACAACCCCTAAAGCCAGCTGTGTTCACATTCCAGCTGGTTACTTCCCGATCAGTAATCTCTGGAAGGATTTCCCTTGCTGAACTTAGTTATAATGACAGCTCATGCCTCCCAAAGTGAGGTCAAGTACTAAAAACATTGCCTGTCAGAAAATAAATTCTTATTATAACTTTTGAGCCTGTGAGAGATTTGAAGGTCTCAGGTGAACTGATCTGTGTTGACACCTCAGCATTCTTAGCTCCAGGGAAGGTCCACGTGACAAACAAGGAACCCAAGGCTCTGGGACCCAGGGTCAAGCAGACAAGGCCAGGGCTGGTGGGACCCACAGGTCCTTGCTCTGCCTTAGTTCTAATCCCAGCTCTGTTCCTCATTCACTGTGTGACCTCAGAAAAATTGCTTAACATCCCTGAGCAAAAAGTTTCTTTGTCCAGAAACAGAATAACGATAGACTCTACCTCAGAGAGTCATGAGAAGTAAATGAATGAATATCCCTGAGAAATGTAAAGTGTTTAACGTGTTGTAATTGTTGTTGTTACGTGCCCTCGAGTCGGACCCGTCTCAGACAGGCCCCTCCTTGGGTTTCTGAGGCAGTATCACTACGGAAGTAGATTGTCCCATCTTCCTTCTGAGGAGTGGCTGGTGGGTTTGAACCGCCAGCCTTCTGGTTAGCAGTCAAGTGCCTTAGGCACTATGCTACCAGACCTCCTTTAATGTGTTGTAAGTGCTATAGAAATTACGTTACATTAAGTTATAATACCATTACTGTTGCTGCTATCATACCATTACAGTCATTAGAGTACATCACATTAAGTTACAACTATTCATGTCTCTGTGATCTATGTAAACATCAATATCAGAGTCAAGAGATTGTCACCCTGCCCCTGCACATCCAGTCCTGCCCCTGCATATCCCTTCCATGCATGTGTCTTCCTGTCTCCAAGTTCCTGCCACGGTTCCCCAATACTTAGGAGATACAAGATCTTCCAAATTCTGGCTCTGCTTGTCTTCTCAATCACCCATCTGCTCCCTCCTACTGACCCCTAAAAGTGCCACAGCTTTTACTCTCAATGCAGAGACCCTACTCAGCTGCCACCTCCTCCAGGAGCCTCCCCAACCCTAAGGCTGGGTCAGCTGTCACCTCTGGCTTCCCTGTGCTTCCCCTACTACTCTGGTCACTTGAGCATCTCCCCCATTATACAGAAATCTTCATAATGGCAGCGATCGCATCTTGTCCAACAGCGGACCCTCTATGCCAAACACACCTCAACGTTTGTTGCATGCGTGAACATGAGTTCGCCCAGGCTTTCACTTCTTCCAGACCTTCGCCTGTGCATCTGGGCTGTACACATATACTATACAATTACTCCTAATCGGCCTGAGGTGGTTTGGCCTGGAAGGAGGGCCGTCCTGGCAAAGCCAGGGCAGGTACAAAGATGCAGGCCCGGCATCACGAACCCGGCTCACCTCGCCCAGAGCCTGCAGACTCTTCACAGCGCCCACCACGGCCTGGTGCTCCATGCCCAGCTCGGCCGCTAACTCCGCGCTGTCCAAGCCTCCATCGGCTGTCTCCAGCCGCCGCAGCAGCAGCTCCCCAACAGAACTATCCGCCATGGCCGCTATCACCACGCTCTGCGAGTCTCAGCCAGGCCAGATAAACCGGAACCGGAACCTGAGCCTGGGGCGTGCGACGCCATCTTGAGCGTGGAGGTGCAGTCGTGTGGCACTCACAGTGACGCCATCTTGAGTGTGTCCTCTGAGTTAGAGAAACTTTGTCCCCACCTCTGGCCTGTTTCGACCATTGGCGTCTTTTGACCAGAGAGGTTGACCATAGAAATCACATTGGCAACCTGAGTGTCAGAAGCACAGTGTTGTTCTGGGTTTTTATCCATCCCAACATCCAGCGGGCTGTGTGACCTTGGATTGCATCCTCTCTTGGCCTTCTGCCCTTCTGGATTTTCTCGTGTACTGAAAAGGCAAGTGGATGGGTGGTGGGCTTAAGAGATGGTCAGTCCGATGTCAGTTACTTTTAAACTTTCAAAGAGAGGTTGCATAGGGTCCATCCCCATTTACAGAAGAGAGAGGGACTTGACTGAAAAATATTAATGAAATAGCAGGTAATCTATGCAGGCTACTTCCTGTGTGCCTAGCCCAGTGCTTAGTATTTCATATGTATTATTTCATTTCTCCTCAAAACTCTATGATACCGATAGTGATAAAATCTCCATTTCACCATGAGCACGCTGAGGCTCAGAAGGTGGTATGACTTGTCAAAAGTTCTACAGTTAGTTGGTGGAGGTGGGGTCAAAAATTATAAACCCTCCAGATTCCAACACAGCCATACTCCAAGATCAATAGCAGAACCAAATTCTACAAAACTCACTGCTGTTGAGTTGATCCTGACTCATAGCAAAAGAGTATAATTGCCCCATGGGGTTTCCAAGGCTGTAATCTTTACCAAAGCAAACTGCCATATCTTTCTCCTACAGAGTGGCTGGTGGATTCCAACAGTAATGCATAGTCTTCATCAGAGTTGTCTTATTGAAATATAATGCCAGATACAAATGTAACTTTACAGTTTCTAGTAATAGTGTTAAAAAACTGGTGAGGTTAATTTTGCTATCTTATTTAACCTAATACATCCAAATTCTTCTTGTTTTAACATATATTCAATTTAAAATGATTGAAATATCTTATATTCTCTTTTTCAAGTTCAGTTGTTAAAATTGAAGTGTATTTTTACAGTACTGCATTGTCAGTGAAGGAAAACACGAGTATACGGGTGGAGAGATGGGTGGACAGCCTGAACTATTAGGTATGTCTATGCAGCAGGGAGTGTACCCAAGACCATATATAGGGTTGGCAGACAATGGTTCTACAAGTGTATTTGTATGTTCTGTAAAAATTCCCAGAGGTATAGTAGAGCTGACAAGGGACAAGATTGCAGTCACTTCTTGGTCACAGCCAGCTACCCAGAGGGACCAAGTAGTGGAACCTGTGGGTTCAGGACCATAGTTGCAGGGGACATCAAACTCAATTGGTATAACATACTACACAAAACATTGTTCCACTTCCTACTCTGGTGAGTAGTGACTGGGATATTAAAAGCTTGCAAGCTGCCATCTAGATACAATGATGAGTCTCTCCTCATCCAGGGCAAAGAAGAACAAAGAAAACCAAAGATTCATGGAAACAATTAGTCCTTGCAACTGGTACACCATGTGATCTGCAGCCTATATGACTATGAGACCAGAAGAACTAGATGGTGCCCAGCTACCACTGTAAACCACCCGGAGGGGGGATCTATGTAGGAGATCCTAGATAGAGAGGGAGAGCAATGTGGAACAAAACTCAAAATCATTTGGAAAAAAGGAACCAGGTTTGCTGGTCTGATAGAGCCTGGTAGAATCACTGAGACTGTGGTCCCTAGCTGCCCTTCAGGTCTGGAATTGAACACACAACTGTGGCTTCCAGCCAAACAAAAGACAGGCATGAGTTGAACATGTACCTGAGGTAGATACATTCCTTGGAGAGAACAATCATGGGAGAAAGAAGGGCTGTTTATGCACAGGGAGACAGTTCAGGGGGCAGGAGTGCATGAAGGGATGGACACAGGGAAGAGGTAACCATTGGGAGGAAGTGGGAGGGGAGCTGTTGCGTTGGGGTAAATTGTAGTTGATGTCACCAGACAATGTGTGTATGAACTGCTGTGTGAAAAGTGAATGTGCTCTGTAAACTTTCATCCAAATCACAATAAAAAAAAAAAATTGCTGTGTATTTTACACTTAGAGTGTATTTCAGTTTGGACTAGCCACATTTGACAGGGCTAATTGTCACATGTGAGTGGATTTGACAATGCAGGTAGATTTAAATTCCAGTTCTTCCATTTACGTCACTCAGTCAAACTGTTTAATCTGTCTGTGTCTGGTGGAAACAGAGCCCAGGTTATTGTGAAAGTTAAGTGAAATAGTGCACACACACGTATGCCCACCCACCGCCATTGATCAAGTCAATTCCGACTCATAGTGAGAAGAACTGCCCTACAGGGTTTCCAAACTTGTAAATCTTTATGGGAGCAGACTGCCTCATCTATTTCCCACACAACAGCTAGTGGGTTCGAACCGGTTCGAATGCTTTAATCACTGTGCCAGCAGAGCTCCTCCACACAGGTGGAGTAATTAATACCGACTGAGTGTAGGCTGTTTGTCAGGACTCTTCTAAGCACTCTTCTGAGCAAACACATTTATTCAATGAACTGTCACAATTATCATTTGAGTCTGTAAAATGGGTTTACTCATATCCCTTAATCCTGACCCTACTTGCTTCAGGTCAGGGGCAGAGAGGAAGATCCTGATTAAAATTCAGGATACATCCCTGAAAGTTCTTTCTTTACTCGGTTTTCAAGCACTTCATCTCTTTTTAAATTCCCACAGAGTCCTTCTTTTCTTCTGTCATGCAGCAAGTCTTTTTTAAGCCTGTTCTTTGTCAGGCTTTGCAGTAGACACTGGGGGACAGTGAGGACAACAAGACAGGCATAGTGTCTACCCTCAGGCAGGAAGCATCAAGCCCATTCTCTTTCCACAACACTAAGGACAAGGGTGGCAGGCCTGCAGTAGTCACCCAGACTTGGGCCTCCTTGTGAAGGGCCAGGTTGGTGATAGTGGATACAGAGTGGGGAAAGGGGCGGAACCCCTACTTCAAGAACCTCTCATTCCTCCCTTTCTTGAGTCCTCACCACTAGATTTCCCACCTCTCCCCTCTCCACAACCCACTCTCGAGTTCCCATGTCTAAGGCCTTTGTGCTTCAGATACTGGAAAACCCCTAGCCCTCTTCCTCCTCCTTGCAGGCTGGGGCAGGGAGCAGGTATCAGTCACGTCTTTTACTTCAGAAGACTCTACATCCAGGGATCCTGCTCTTCTCCCTCGACATTATCTTCCCTACCATCTGCCTTTTTCCTCTCCAACGGCCCCCTGCACTCTTGCCTAAGGCCCCCTGCCCTCTTGCCTTTAGCTGTTTAATTGCAAAACATAGACGGTTTGTGGGAGACCACAGAACAGGGACCCTTTTCATTTACAGGCTGAGGGGGGAGCAAAAAGGAGCCTGTAACTTAGGGAACAATCCTACTTTCATTCTAAAAGTCCCATCTCTGAGCCTTCTGGGCTTCCTTCTCTCTGCTTGCCTACATCCCTAAAAGCTTTGAAACAATTTCTGTCAGGCAGGAGCTGGCTAGGGGACCCTCTTGGCCTCTCAGGAACTGCTGCGATTTCAGAGAGGCTAAGTGACTTGCCTGAGTCACACAGCAACAGTCTGACGGGCTGCCAGGGCCCTGGGAGCCCTGGGAATGAAAGCTGGCACCCACCTGTCTGGCCTGCATGGCTGTAGCCCTGGCACTGGGATGAATGAGAAACCTGGCCCCAGCTTCTGAGCTCTGCCCCATCCTAGGGCTGAGGAGAGCCCATTGCTGGGATTGGGTTCATCAAATACAGAGTAGAAAGTTGAGTGGCGTGGAAAGCCAAAAGGCCGGGCTCACCCCTCAACGCCGAGAGGACAGAAGGGGATGAAGCAGGGGAAGGGTCCCAACCCTGTACCATAACCTCTACGCTTGCGCGGGTTCTTTAAACGCCCAGCCGCGGAGCGGACCGCGCGTTTAACTGAGGGGCTGGGCTGAGGGCTAGTCACATGACCTGGTCAGGGGCTCTCGGGCCCCTCCACCCCACCGGTGGGCGTCCCCCACAACGCGTGGTCGACCTTCATTGGTCCGGGATGCAACCAATAGAAATCGGCCATCTGGGAACCCAGCGTTCCGAGGCACAGCCTAATATGCTGAACAGGCATGGGTCCAATGGAGAGGGGCGGCTGTAGGCTCAGACCAATGATAAAGCGCAGTGGGCGGGCCCAAAGGCCGGTCCAGGTTGGGGTGAGAGGCGGGCGGGTATAAAAGGGTGTGGCTGCCGCCGGAATCCGTCCCTACTGCAGAACCGCTGTCTTAGGAACGTCTTAAAGGGCCCGCGTGCCGCCGCCCCCTCGGCCCGCCATGCTGCTACCCGTACCGCTGCTGCTTGGCCTCTTAGGCCTGGTCGCCGCTGAGCCCACCGTGTACTTCAAGGAGCAGTTTCTGGACGGAGGTAATGCCTGTTTCCGTCCCGAGGCCGCCCCGACGACGTGACCGGTCCCCAGCTCGGTTCTGCGTTGTCGTCTGTAATTACCGCTCAGAGGATCAACACTGTGGCCCCCAGGGACCGGATCCGCGGGCAGTCCCTCCTTATGAGTCCCAGGGGAGCGCGAAGGGCACAGCAATCTTTCGCGGCTGGGGTTAGGGTTCGCCCGAGGTGTCAAACTGGAGAATGGGGTGGGGGGGTGTCAGGGAAGATTTCCTCATCTGCTCCCAACAGCTTGTGGCCCCTGACAGGTGTTAGGTAGGGGTGGTCACAATGGCCACCCTGACCTCCTCTTTTCCCTTAGATGGGTGGACCAACCGCTGGATTGAATCCAAACACAAATCGGATTTTGGCAAATTTGTTCTCAATTCCGGCAAGTTCTATGGTGACCAGGAGAAAGATAAAGGTAAGAGTCTAGGGGTGGGTGCCCAGATCTGAGTGGACTGGCTGGCGCA